GCAGAGAAGGGCAGGCTGGTGGGCAGAGAAGCCCTGGCCTTCTGCTATCATCTGCCAGCGAGAGTATCTTCTTACACGTTTGGCTTCTTCTGAGCTTTTCTTTGTTGGATTATTGACTGTTGTCATTTGCTCCTGAGTGCTTGCAGCTACTGTGCTGTGGCTGATTGGAACAGAGCCTCACAATGGAACCCATGACCTAGGGAGGTTGTGAGCTTTCCCACACCAAAGGCATGCAAGATACAACCAGACAGCCATCTGAGAGGGACGGTTTACCCTGGGGTCCTACACTGAGCAGGAGGCTGGACCCAGCGGCCCTCTGGCCCCCTCCAAGTCTAGTATTCTATGATTCTGTGAGAGTCCTTCAATCAGTTCCTTTATGACTCTAGGATGGAGTTTATTGGGCCCTAAAGACTTGCACTCATTCAATCCAATTAGATGATCCTTGACCAGTTGCCTCTCAATCTCAAGCTGCCATCCTGCTCCTTCAGTTTATACTTCCCCTTTGCCTGGAAGGTCATAGGCCTTCTTCCATTCTGGGAAAGACAATGGAAAGGTTCATACTAGTGAGAGATCTAGCAACCTAGATAGGGAAGGGAGGCTGGTGGCCACACAACACGGCTTCCGCAAAAACCGGTCCTGCCAGATGAACCTTGTGGAATTCAAAGACAAGGTTTCGAGGTGACTAGATGGAAGGGACGCAGTGGATGGATTTCAGCAAGGCCTCTGACAAAGTGCCCCATGATATCCTGGTTCAGAAATTGAGGAGTTTTGGGATAGACCAAAGAAGGTTTTTTGTTGCTTTTAGCATCTCTTGCTACCCTCAGTTCATTCCTAACTTTAGCTTTCCTGACACCTTCCCTGCAACTCCCTGCTACCAGCTTCTGTTCTTCCTTTTTAGCCTGGCCTTCCTTCCTCGTCCCATGCATGTCCTTCTTCGTTTTCGGATCATCTCCCTGCTTTTTGTGACGCCACATGGGCTTCTTCTGTTGTCCTCTAGTCCTTTTCTTGTTGGAATGGCTTGTAGCCACAGCTTTAGAATTCCCCCTTTGAATGTCCCTTGCACTCGTATGCAATTTGTGCCAAATTTTGCTTAGGACGGATCCTGCCACACTGCTCCCTCCAAGGGCAGGTGCTGCCGGGGATTTTCTGACCTGCCTTTGTTCTGTTTAGGTTGAGAAGATGCCACATCAGCGATGAAAATGAGTCCCTTTGGTGGGTCGTCAGAGGAGGAGCTGAGGGGTGGGGAGCGGCCATCACAGCCTGCAGGCAGCCAAGGGCAAGCCTGGGAGCAGCGCTTCCAAGCAGGAGTCCGGGGAGGCCGCTGCACCCCCCACAGATACTGCTGGCGTTCCTGGAGCAGCACCAGTGGACTCGCTCCCTCCGCGGCGCTGCACAGGGGAGATTCCCTGGCTTGGCGGCCCCGCCATTGTTCATCAGTTCCCCGGCAGCCTCCCCGCCAGCGCCTGCCTCGGGACTCTCCAGTTTCAGAGCTGAGCAGGGGGAGAGGCGATGGGGAAGCCATCCGGGCCTTTCACTCCACCCCCATTTCCAGAGCGGAAGGTGAAGGCAGCAGAGCCTTTCCTGCCTGTCCTCGGTTTCCTCCCCCGCCAGGGATCCTGCCGGGCCCTCAGCCAAGCCCCTCGCACGCTGGCGGCCTCCCCAGCCTGACTCAGGGAAGGCTGGGCACAGGCTGCCTCCATTTCCTGGATGACTGGGAGGAAGCAAGAGGGGGGCTGCTCTCCAGCAGGGTAAGGTCACAGCTTCCTCTGGAGGAAAATTGAGGGCTGGCTGGAAAGGCTGGCACTTGGTAAAAGTGCCGACTCCTGCTGCCCCAGGTCACCTGTGGCTCCCTCCCTCCCTCCCCTGGCCAACCTCCAGCATCGGTGCCAGCCAGGAGTGCAGCGGTGGGCCCAGAAAGGGTCTGCAGAGGAGCGTGCAGCTGGGGGGGGGGGTGCTGTGGCATCCAGCAGTGCGGGGCTGGCTCGTGGCCTCTGCCCGTAGAACAGAGTAAGAGGTGGCTCACACTGGCCAGCGTCTGGGAGGAGAGAACGGGCATGGTGGAACCAGGGGCCCACACCGTGGGAGGCTCTGCCGTGGGTGAGGGAGGGCTGTGCCACATGGTGAGGGCTGCCAAGCGGCCTGGCAGGAGGGAGGCGGTCTTTCCCAGGCCTCTTCTGGCAGGCCTCTTCTGCTTTCTTGCGGGGGGCACTGCCACCCGGTGGCAACGGGAGGGATCACAGAGGGCCCGCAGACATGCTGCCACGGGCAACAGGGAGGCCTGCGGTCCCACCCAGTGCAGCAGTTTGCTGGGGCAAGACCTGAGGCCCCACAGACAGGGAGCATGTGGGGAAGGCAGAACAGCATCCGGGAAACCAAGTGCGGCAAACAGACAGAGCTGGACTTGGCGAGCCCAAATTGTGCTCCAGTTAAGGTGTATTTCTTAAGGGTCGGTTTTGCTCCTGCTGAGAGCACAGCTTTTTAGTGGTCTCAACAACTCCGGAACATCTTTTGAACTAGTTCAGATTCTAGAGCGAGGTAACTGGTGGGGTGCCGCAGGGTTTAGTCCTGGGCCCAGAGCTCTTCAACATTTTTACTAATGATTTAGATGAGGGAATACAAGGAAAGATACTATACTGGGTGGAATAGCAAACACTCTAGAAGACAGAATGAAGATCCAAGGTGATCTTGATAAACTTGAACTCTGGGCTGAAAGCAACAGAATGAGATTCATTAAGGGCAAGTGCCAAGTCCTCCACCTAGGAAAAAGAAACCAAAGGCCTCTCCCCAAAGAGGTCCGCCTGGCACTGTCGTTACTGGTTTTTCGGCGCCAGGTAAAGACCTTTTTATTTAAACATCATTTCAATTGTTAAAACATATGATCTGGCCTGGGCAACTTCTTCTTCCTTCTCTTTCTCCTCCTATATTTTTATTTTATACTGATAATTTTAATTTTGTATTTGTAAATCAATGTATTTTTTGTATTGTTATATTTAATGGTAATTTATTATGTACTATTGTATTTCAATGTATTTTATCATGTTGTAAGCCGCCCCGAGGTTTCGGCAAGGGGCGGCATAGTAATGTTATAATAATAATAATAATAATAATAATAATAATAATAATAATAATAAAAATACAAGAGGGGGAATACGTGGCCCAACAGAACTGAACAAGACAAAGACTTTGGAGTGAACGTGGACAACAGGCTAAACATTGAGACAACAATGCGATGCAGCAGCCAAAAGGGCAAATGCTATTTTGGGGTGCATTAACATAAGTATTACTTCCAAATCACAAGAAGTAGTAGTTCCCCTATACTCCTCACTAGTCAGACCTCACCTGGAACACTGTGTCCAGTTCTGGGCACCAAGATTTAAGAAAGATGCATTAAAAATAGAAAGGGTCCAGAGCAGAGGAGGGCAGCAAACTAGGGCATGATCTAGGCCATGGGTCCTCAAACTATGGCTTGCAGGCCAGATCTGGCCTGCCATGCCCATTTATTCGGTCCACCTCAGAGGTTTTGGACTCGCTGTGCCCGTGCTGTGCACCCATGCCCACAACCACCTGCCTCGCTGTGCACCTGCCCCCTCCCTGGCCAGCGCCCGCTGCTGGCACCACCTTGCCGGCCTGTACCCACCGCCGGCATCTTTCAACTGGCCCTCCCTTTGGAAAGTTTGAGGACCCCTGATCTAGGGTTTGGAAACACTGCCTCATGAGGACAGACTGAGAACTGGGCATGTTCAGCCTTGAGAGAGATTGAGAGCAGGTGGACATGGTATCCCTCTATAAGAACCTCCAAGGCTGTCACAAAGAAGGTCAAAATCTCTTCTGATACCAGAGTGTAGGACATGGAATTCTCAATTCAAGTTGCAACAACCCAGATTCAGGCTGGGCATCAGGAAATGTTTCCTCACTATCAGAGCAATACGACAGGGGAACCAGCTGCCTGGGGAGTTTCCACACTAGAGCCATTCAAGGTGAACCTGGACCATCATCTGAGTGGGATGGAATAAACTGGTGTCCTGTGACCCAAATGCCTTCATGGCCCCTTCCAACTCCACTATTCTGTGATTCTACAATTCTTTGTATTGTGTTTTTTTTTAAACAATAACAAGCAAACCCTAAACTTGCAATGCTGAATATTTAGATCTGGCTCTGATGATGATTAACATGTTATTTTTTATGCATTAACAGTACATGTGCCTCCTACTCCCAACTCAGATAGTTGTCCCAGAAGGATGCCATGGTCAACGGTAAGAGTAAACAACAGGCACACAGCAAGTTTATTTATTTATTTATTTATTTAAAACTTTTATATACTGTCCTCTATGCGTGGCAACTCAGGACGGTTTACAACATTAAAATAAAAAACAAATAACAATTAATACAAATATAAAGCAATATACAACCAATAAAAATATTTTATATAAAAAATAAAGTCGAGAGTGACCGATTAAAACTATTAAAATACGAATTTTTAAAATAACACTTAAAGGTTTTGACCTGGTGCTGAAAAGAATATAGGCTCAATTATACAGAATACTATAGAATCAATCAGGAATATTTGATTGTTGCATGCATGTTTCAGGAAAGTCCGCATCTTTCAGACAGAAGGCAGGCCCGCAGCGCCCCCATTTCTGGCCCTGCCTCATTGTGTTCCGTGCTTGAAAAATCGTGCACAGCCAACCCGTGCAAAGAGCTCCGTACTAAGCCAGCAACTTTGGGCGGAAGGACGAGGAAGAGGAGGAGGGGGAGGAAGAGGAGGAGGAGGAAGCGCGTCCCCGACCGAGACGTGCATCGCGCCCGGGACGGGAAGCGCCGGACGTGCTGCCGCGGGGAGCCAAGGGGCGTGGCGACCAGGAGGGCCGGCCATAGAGGCGGGATGAGGCGTGGCGCAGAGCGACCCCCTGCCCGCCCGCCCTCTATGACCGTCAGGCGAACGGCGGCCGCGGATTGGTCCTGGACCGGGCACGTGGGTCAGTTCCCTCGGCACGTCCGCCATGCTGCCTGGAGCGGCGTCCGCAGCGCTCATGGGTCCGGCGGGGCGGCGGGGGGCGGCGGCGGCCGGGAGCCCCGGGCTGGGGCGCGAGGCCGCTGGGCGCGATCCTGCGGGCGCGGGCTCTCCGCGCATCCGCGCTCGCGGCCCGCGCTCCTCCGCCCGGCAGGTGCGGAGCACCGGGGACAGCAGCGCCGCCAGCAAGCGGTCGGCGGCCGCGTGGGGCTACACGCCGGACCGCTTCGTGCTGCAGCTCGTGCCCGGGGCCGGCCGCCGCGCCCCGGCCATCCACCGGTGAGCCGGAGGACGGCCCCGCGCGCGGCGGGGCGGGGCGGGCGGGGCTCCCGGGCGGGCAGAGGAGCGGGGCGTCTGCCGAAGCCGGCGCCTGGCCCGCTCAGCCCGTTCTTCGCCTCCGCAGGGGCTACCACGTCCGGGCCCGCGCCGTGGAGCACTGCGTCCGAGCGTTCCTGCTGCGCACGCGGGGGCACCCCGGGAGGCAGGTGAGGCCTGGGGAAGGGGCGCCGGGGCACAGCAACCCGCTTCTGCCCGGCCGGGGCCCGCGGTGCTGACGCTGTCGGCGCCCCCGCAGATTGTCTCCTTGGGTGCCGGCCTCGATTCGCTCTACTTCTGCCTCAAGAGTGAAGGTCTCCTGGGCCGAGCGGTTTTCTTTGAGATTGACTTCCCGGAAGTGGCCGCCCGCAAAGCTGCGTTGATCAACGAACTGGAGGAGCTGGCTGCCTTGGCGGGGAGCAGCACTTTCGCGGAGGGGCCTGGTACGGTGAAGGGGCGGGCGGGCGGGCGGGCGGCTCTCAAGGCTTGGCAGGCCCGGAGGCTTTTGCTGGCCTAGTTGCTTTCTGGTGTCTTGGTCCCGTGGCCTCTGGGTGGCATAAGTATCGCTTGATCCAAGAGGAGGCACGAGTGGGATGTGAATGTGGAGCGCTGTGACACAGCCTGCCTCGCTCTTGCACTGAGAGACAGTTCTGAGTAGTGGCTAGGATTAGTGGCTGTTTTAGAGTACAGAATGGTAAAATTGATAGATATGGTTGACTTAGCGTATGAGCCTGGATCCCTGGCCATTCCAGTCAAGGGGATAGGCAGTAATGTAGGCCTAGAGGCAAAGGTAGGGCAGGATAGCTAACGTTAACAGAAGCAGTCTTGCAAGTGCATGTGGCGCCTTCTTTTATTCACACACATGTGCACACAGATGGTTTTTCTCTCCCCAGCTCGCAGCATCCCTTGCCAGGTAGCACAAGACTTCCTTTCGCCCCCTTGCAGCAGGGAGGGCCCCAGGCCTGATGCAAAGAGCAGTGTGTCTGCATCTGCCTTCTGAGAGGCGACTGTGATGAAGAATGATTGTTCTGCCTCTGTTCCAGGGGAGGTCAAGTGTTCAGGAGAGGATTACAGACTTTTGGGAGTGGACCTGTCTGATCTGCCAAGGCTGGAAGAAGTTTTGCTTGTGGCAGGCATGGACCCCAGAGCTCCCACAATACTTCTGGGAGAAGTTGTGCTCACCTACATGGAGGTGGAAAGGTTTGTGGCATGCTACTTTCCATCGGTACTTCTGGCTATTTGAGCAGGCAAACATTGTCAAATAACAGCCAGTGGCCAGTGTAACAAAATAGATACTTAAGGTAATTGCAAATACAACTTGGTTTGTTATCATAGAACAAAATGCAGAACAGTTAGATGGAACCTGTTGCCTGGGGAACTTGTGGCCTCTCCCTTGCTAGAAACATTCAAACAGCGTCTGGATAGTCACCTGAATGGGATGGTGTAACTTAGTGTCTTGCAACAGCAGAGATTGGACCTAATGGCCTTTGGGCCCCTTCCAACTTTACTGTTCTATGGTTCCCATAATAATGTGTGGACTGAGAGGCTACTGCATAGTTTTGGCATAACATTTCAGCAGGTCTGACCTTAATAGGGTTGGGCTGAGTGTCATAGCTGTTGAGCAGTCTTCTCTCCTTTTCCTTCCTCAGCAGATTTGCCTTTTCCCCCCTTTAAAGTAATCTAACCCAGTGGTACTTGTGGCAGCCAATTTCTCTGTTGAGTTTGTGCCAGGAGAACTAGAAATAGTTCCTTTTGCCTGCCTGTCATGGATCTCTTGCCTGCTGCTTCACCCAGTTAAGACCAGTTCCCATGCCACTGAATTCTTTTGAATCCAGAGTCAGCCAGCTTGTGGACGTTGTTCCCAAGCCTAAGAGACATTCTGCCTAGCTCTTAAAACTGAATTGTGAACCTGTGTGCTAAAGAAGGGCAAGAGGGAGCTGTCTTGAGTGCTGTCGCCACACAATGCCTCCCTTCGCAAGTGCTGGTTGTGGCTTGGCTTGGCTTGGCGGCTGCAGGACTCCTCCAGGCGCTCCTTGGCCCCCTGTGTGCGTCTGGACTTCGAACCAGGCACTGACATGCCTCCTTCCCTGCTTTTGTGCCTCAGGTCAGATGCTCTGATTGAATGGGCGGCCCAGCACTTCCTACAGGCCTGGTTCGTCTTGTACGAACAGATCCATCCAGAGGACCCTTTCGGACGCATCATGCAGAATCACTTCAGGCGGCTCAAGTCCCAGCTCCGTTCCCTAGCCTGCTACCCCAACTGCGAGGCTCAGCAGATGCGCTTCCTCCAGAGGGTAGGCATGGAACTTGGACTGGGGTGGGGCGGGAATGGAAGAAAGCGGCTGGGGAGATGAGGCAGTGGAAGGCAGCTGCCCGTGCTTGAGTGTGCTGGGAGGACAGTACTCTGGCATTCTGTTTAGGGCTGGACTGAATGCAGCATCATGGACATGAATGAATTTTACAGATGCTTCGTCCCTCATGATGAGCAGCAGAGGATCCAAGGCCTGGAGCCCTTTGATGAATTTGAGGTAGGCTGCTTGTGTCCTTGCTGGTACCCAGAGTCTTCTGCCCCTGCTGCAGCTGGGAGCAGCGGCATTCATTCAGCATGTGCCCCTCTGCAGCACCCAGCCTCCACTGGCTCCCACAAGCCTTCCTGCTTCCACATGGGACTCAGTGCGGGTGGTCTAGACAGGTCTCTGTTCTCTCTCAGGTATGTGAGGGGGTGTCACATGGAGATGGGTAGACACCTGTTCTCCCCTGCAGAGGAAGGCAGGACATGCTCCAGTGGAGCAAAGTTCAGGGAGCCAAGGTTCCATTTGGATGCCAGGAAGCACTTCCTGACAGTCAGGACCTCGAGGGTGTGGAACGGGCTTCCATGAGAGGTCGTTGAGGCCCCGTCGGTGCGGGTGTTCAAAGATAGGCTGGACACGCACATGGTGGGCATGTCGTGAGTGGAGCTGGTTGGTGCCGGAGGTCAGACTAGATGGCCTGGGAGGCCCCTTCTGCCTCGCTCTGTTTCTATGTTTCTCTCTGGTGGCCAGCTCTCTGGTATGAGAACTGTGGGATAATTCAGCAGCTAAAGCTTCCTTAGAAAGACATGGAAAACCAGGCTATTATAAATGCTGCTCTGCTCAAGTTGTGGTTGATAAAACGGTTAGCATGATCCTCAGATAGTGAGAACAGACTGGACAGCTGTCTGTGGGAGACACAAATCTCTGCATTTCCTGGTCTGGGCAGGGACTTTGTTTATCTGGTTTTCATTATAAGATAACTCTGAAAAAAGATGGAAATAATGAAACAGAAAAATATTCTAGTATTGCCAAAAAAGCATAAACAAGGGAGAGTACTAACAGACAAGTATAGCTTCTGTGCTGTAGTTCCATGAAAGAGAGGAAATCTGGGCAGGAGTCTGCATGATGAGGTCTTTGGTTGGCACTGAAAGCTCGCGAGACTCAAGTCTAGCTATCTGTGCTTTGGGGGCACCCTGAGTGCTTTTGCTGACAAGGTCTTTTCTCCGGAAAGCTGTGTGGCGAACTCCGTGCCAATGTGACGCGGTCCAGAGGGCACTGCCCTTCCGTCTTAACACCCAGGCAGGCACATCCTCCCTGGGAGAAGGTGCTGCACGGGGTGACGAGGTCCATGCCCGCACATGCACCTTGGAGCTGGGTTAGTAGCTTGCTGGCAGACAGTGTGGTTCTTTTCAGACTGGCGCGAGATGCTCTCAGCTGGGCGTCTCATTTAGCACCCTAGGCAACCAGAGGGCCTGAAGGGTCTCCTCCAGAGCCAGGGTTCTCAGATGCTTGCCTCACTTTCTGATTGAACCCTCCATGAATGAGGTACGGAGAGCTTAGGCTAATAAATGCCACATATGGGCATTTATGAACAGTAGCTGTTTTTTGTTTCATGGTGATCTGCATGGAATATGAACCAGAAGAAGCTATTCCCTTCCCTGCATAAGCACCAAGTCCATGTTTGCAAGACAAGAGTGTAACTTTGGGGGTTTTGCTGTTTAGAACTGAGCATGGGACAAAAGGAAAGAGAGAGAATCTTGTATTTAACAGCTTGACTGAAGGCATCTGTAGGCCAAAGGATAGGCTGGCATAGGAGGAATAGATTACGCTCCATCAGCTCATTATCTTTTTGCGCTGGCCATGGAGGGAAAGCCCCACCACCCACCATCTGCAGCCAGCAAGGAAGCTGAGAGGTATGATGGAGGAGGGACAAAATCAGCCGCTGTCAGTATCCTTGGTAGAAGAAAAACATCTAATTAACCCGCATTTCCATTTTTTGTTGCTGGTTTGGAAATTTAGGCTTTAGCATGATAGTTAAAAATGTGCAGGAGAGTCCCTTTTGTGAGCTTGCTTATTTGTTTGTGGTTATGGGAATTTTACGCCAGCTAATGGGGTGTGGCTGGGAAATTTGGAGAACAGAAAACAAGATGCTTTTCCTCTTGTGCTCTGTCTTGTTTTGCCTTTTCGCTTGCAGGAATGGCACCTGAAATGCTCCCATTATTTCATCCTTGTCGCAGTGAAAGACGGAGAGGCGCTGTCTTCGACCCCTCCTGTGTTTCCCGGCATGAAGGACAAAGGTGCAGTGAGGCTCTTGCTCCCAGTGTTGGTTGGTGTGGCCAGGAAAGCCTCAGTGATGGATGGCTTTTGCCCCTCGCCATCCGGGGTGGCGGCAGATCTGGTGCTCCCTAGTCTGTGCTTCTGCCTTGAATTGTAGACCTTTGAAATGCTGCAATTGTGAGAACCTGGACTGTGGGTTTAAAAGCCCTAGAGCGGGTTTCTTTTGCTAACCTCCTTGTCTGTGATGTGGGAATATCAATGGCTTACTTTGCATATAGGCGTAAGAAATATTTTATGTATTAGTTCTACGCTCTGTTTACGGGCTTGGGTTTTTCTTGGCATATATGCAGAATACTTGCATTTCCCAGTGTATCACCGTTTAATGGCACAGATGCTCGTGCAGAGTGTGCTTAGGACAGAGCGCATGCAGAGAACGGGCGGCAGCCTTCCCCGTCGGAGGCCCTGGAGGGAGAGCCGCTGCTGTGGGCGCCATGTTGGCAGTACTGGCTAGAGGGCCAAGGGCTTGGCTCAGCATGAGTGGCTTTCTCTGTTTTGTGTCATGCTGTCACCTTCCAAAGGTGATCTGGGATCAAATTAGGGAGGCAGCCGAAGGACAAAGAGCGCATTGATGGCTGTCCCCAACCCTCTTGCTGACTTGTTTGCCTGACTCAAGCTGTGAACCACTTCCCGCCACGCTGAATGCCAGTGCCTTGGAGCAGCTGGTCGAGTCAAGAGGTGACCCAGGAACCAGGCCTCGGGGTGCTGCCTGCAACAGCTAGAGGCACATGTGTTGTCCAAGGGTGTGTCTTCGGTGCAGCTGAATTCTTTGCTTATGACTGAATGCCCAACATGGAGGGAAACTGCAAAAGTGCCGGTGCTGGTGGTTGTGTGTGCGGCAACCAAGGCTGGCGTGGGCTCCTTTTCCACCTTTCAGCGGATTCCTGCCAGGAGCTTGTTTGTCCTGAGGCGCACGTGTGTGGGCATGCCTGCATGTGTATGTGCGACAGACGTCCTCTGTTTCTCTGCCGTTCACCAAGCCCAGCGGCTGGCTTCCCAGGTTGCCCAGGGTTAGGGTTAGGCGGGGGCTGCTTGTGCTGCCAGTGACGTGGCCAATGCTCTTTCCTCCCTGGCGTGTAGCCCAGCTGACTGGTGGGATGCCCTGCTTTGCCGGAACGATTGCTGCTGTGGCCTGTGGCACAGACTCGGGAGGGGCCAGCCTGAGGCGGTACGGCCATCGCTCTGTGCTCCTTGCCCCTCACATGGTCCTCACCACAGGAGGTTTTGGGGACCATGGTGGACGTCATGGTCGCCTGACAGAGCTGCACGTCCTGTTCAAGGACAAGGATTCCTGGAGAAGTGGCAGTGTTTGTCTGGCCAAGTCTGGGGAAGCCTGGGGTAAGCTGGACTGGACCAGGAGGGAGGGGAGGGGAGGGGAGGGGAGGGTGCAGGCAGCCTTGCGTGTGCAGAAGCTGTTTGAGCGCTGTCTCTCTCTCCACCTTCCAGATGCACGTCTGTTCCACACGGTGACATTTCTGCAGGCAGGCTGGGCTGTGGTGTTAGGCGGACGCAAGTCTCCGGTGAACCCCGCCATGGCTCTCTGTCGTTTGAGAGTGCTGGAGGCTGCTGGGTCGTTGGCCCTTGGAAGTCCCATAATAGAGCTCACTCCACTGCCACCTGCCAAGGACCTGGTTCTGCCCCGCTGGCGACATACGGCAACAGAAATTATGTACCAAGGTAGAAACAAGGCTTTGGGCATTTGAAGGTGACGACAGCAGTTCATGGCATTTCATCTCTGTAGCTTGATCCGCCTGGGCTCATTTGATGCCTTGTGAGAGACTTCTTAGAAGTCACCTGGTGCTGTTCTCTTCCTAGAAGAAGGGCTGCGTAATGAAGGAGGGGTTGGATGAAATTAAATCCACCCCTTCTCGTTGGAATTGTCTGTAGCACAGAAGAGGTCCCACTTGCCAAACCAAACTCCTGGAAATCTGCAGAGTGATAGCATTCATCAGCCCTTGGAAGTCTTGTGTCTTTGTCCCAAGCAGGCTAACAGTTGGGCAGAGATGCCAAATTCCCGAGAGAAAAATTTGCAGCTGTTCAAGGGCAAAACAAGGGAGAGATCTTTAAGTTGGAAGGGTGGGTTCCTTTCAGCTTTACCATCAGTGCTCCAGCAGGGCGTGGATGGTATTATGGCTGCCTAGGAGGAGGGCAGAGGTTCCAGGGAAGATGGTGGAGGCTGACTTCTTGCTCCCCTTCCAGGTGAGGCGTACCTGTTTGTCTATGGTGGCTGCAGCACTGGGCAGTCTGTACTGGCAGATTGGTGCTTCCTGCACTTGGAAGAGCTCTGTGGTCGACAGGTATGGGATAAGGAAGGCCGAGCTCTGCCTTGGCCTTGTCTGCGGGCTTATCATTCAAGCCAGTTCCAGAATCCCCAAAACATCTTTCTCTGGGCAGAGCGTGGAAAGGCAGGAGATGGAGCCAATGGATGTTTTTGAAGTCTCTGTCCCTTAAGACAGGAGTAATAATTACTGCTGCTACGGTTCCATGTGTGAGCAGATGGTAGAGCTGGTGTGTTGTTACACTTCATCTTGCTCTCCCTCGGAGTGCTTGGGGCCTTGCACTTGGAGCTTCCTGTACCCATTTCATCCTCACAACAGCCCTGTGAGGTAGGCTAAGCTGCGAGAGAGTGAGTAACTCAGCCATGTTGCCTGAAGGTGGCTGGCAATTGCCAGGCTCCCTTGTCTGAGTGTACGCAGGCCTTGCCTCCTGTGCCTCTGATCTGAGTGGAACCGCTGACTGTGGCACCAGGCTAGCCGAGTCTGGCTTTGAGCCCGAGCGACTGGCACTGCTCTCTGACCAGTGGGCACACCGTGGTCCGCACAGGCGGGTGCTTTTGGCTGCTCTTACTGAGCTGGGCCTTACCCTGCCCATGCTGTGCCTCCCCAGCCTCTCCACTGATGCAAAGCCTAGCGGAGCCTTCCCCTTGCATGCTTTTCTGGCCTCTGCTTTCTAAACCAGTCCCTAGTCCCCCCGGCATGGCTGGGGATCAGGGTGGACGGTGCATTTTTCCTCTTTCCCCTACATCTTCTACCGACCTACAGCTCTAGCACCTCCTCCTCTAGGCCTGCTCTGTCAGGACAAGATTTGCAACCTGACTTCAAATACCCTGTGCCTGGTTGCCACTAGTGTGCACCTTCATGTATCCATTTATCTGTATAAGCAACTTTATACCACCCAATCGCTGAGGCTGTCCTTCTGCTCCACCGTCTCAGATTCCTGTGGAAGGCCACGTCCCGGCCGGCCGTCATTCCCACAGTGCCTGTGGCTGGCAAGGTGGCGTTCTGATTGCGGGTGGCCTGGGAACCTTTGAGCAGCCGCTGGGCACCATCTTGTTTCTGAGGCCAGCACAATGTGGCTTCCAGTGGCACAGAGTTGAGACCCGCCCCCAGCTCACTCCTAGGTAAGTGACCGGTCTGTTCTCTCCCTCTCTTGCTCAGTGCATTGTGAAGTGTGTGGGCATCGCAGAGCGTTGGAATGGGAGGGTGCAGCGCCCTGGCCATGGACTCAAGCTTTTTTGGACTCCCGAGAGAAGCAATGAGCTGAGTCTAGGTTTCCTTACAAGGAGGAAGCCTCCTCATGTGCACGAATACAAGTCGGCCAGCTTATCTAGTGTTTCAAAGCCACTTCTTACAGTGCAGGGCAGGTTCCAGTCAGCTGGAAAGAATGGTCAGTGAAGGCTGCCTGTGAGCTGTCTGTGTCCAAGCAAAGGTGGGGGAAGCTGGGCTGGACTCCTCGTTCTGTGCTCTTTGCTGCTGATGCCGCAAAGTCCTGTGGTCTGAACCACTTGAACGTTCTTGTCCTGGCAGGTCCAGCTGCAGCTCTGAAAGAAACCTGCAGGTGAGCCAGGTGGCAGATTCTACAGACATGTAGGCGGGTTCGGTCTTGGCCACAGGCCTCGTCGTGCAACAGCCACACATTAGTTGGTGTTGCTGTTCTGAGGTACCATTTGTCCCTCTTCTTGGCTGAACCAGACAAGATGGAGGGTTTGCCCACACAATGGAAGGCTCCACAGCCTGTGGAGGGTGAAATACCTTTTCAGACGAAGGAGCCAGTGGAAAAACCAAGCTGCAGTGAAATGGTGGCATTGGGCCTGGCAGCCTCCCGAGGACACCTCAGGTGCTGAAGCAATTCCTCTCGGAGGAATTGTATTAAGAGAGCCAGTTTAGCCAACGAGCAGGACAGAAACCTAATAAATATTTTAGTAAGAAGGTCAGCAATGTCATGTTTGAGTTCTTAGATAGCTAGGTTGGATACTGTCTGGACCAGGTGACTTGCCGATCTTCACTTTGTCAGTAAGGTCCCTACAATCTGCCTTAATTCCTCAGACGTCCTTCCAGAATACATAAGGTCCGGAATGGTGGTGGTGGTGGTGGTGGTGGTGGTGGTATTATTATTATTATTATTATTATTATTATTATTATTATAACATTTCTATGCCACCCCTTGCCGAAACCTCGGGGCGGCTTACAACATGATAAAATACATTGAAATACAATAGAACATAATAAATTACCATTAAATATAAAAATACAAAAAA